CCAATGAACTATTCAAAAAAACAACAAAAAAACAGCCGGGCGCCAGTGGCTCACGTCTGTAATCCTAGCTACTCAGGAAGCTGAGATCTGAGGATCACAGTTCAAAGCCAGCCCAGGCAGGAAAGTCTGTAAGACTCTTATTTCCAATAAACCACTAGAAAACTGGAAGTGGCACTGTAGCTCAAGCGGTAGAGTGCTTATCTTGAGCTGAAGAGCTGACGGATAGTGCCCAGGCCCAGAGTTCAAGCCCCACCACTGACCAAAAAAAAAAAAAGAAAGAAGAAGAAGAAGAAAAGAAAAACAGAAGTGAGCTGTGGCTCAAGTAATAGGTGCTATCCTTGAGGAAAAAAAGCTCAGGGACAGCACCCAGGCCCTGAGTTCAAGCCGTAGGACTGGCATGAAAAAAAAAAAAATATATATATATATATATATGTTTATATGTATTATATATTTATATATATTACATATATAAGGAAATAAAAAACTGATTTTTTTATTATCATTGATCTTTGGAGTAATCATTTGCCTGGAAAACCTTTGGACTTTTCTCTCGTTATATGAACCAATAAACTTTTATTCTTTCTCAAGTTAGTTAACAACTGAAGAAATCCTGGCCCATACAGGCCAGAGTCCACACTTTGAGATGGACCAGGGACCTCAGCTGAGATAAGGAGGTTAGTTGTCCAGGGTCACTGTGAATATCCTGCTCTCCAACACGGCAAGCAGCAAAGACATGTGGGGGACAGAGACTTAAACACCAAGGGACGTAGCAGGTAATAAAAAGAGCCCAGAGCCAGCCCTGGTGGCTCGTGCCTGTCATCCTAGCTACTCAGGAGGCTGAGATCTGAGGATCATGATTCAAAGCCAACCCAGGCAGGAAAGTCCATGAGACTCTTATCTCCAATTAACCACCAAAAAGCCAAAAGTGGAGCTGTGGCTTAAAGTGGTAGAGCACTAGCCTTGAGCACGAAAGCTTAGAGACAGTGCCCAGGCTCTGAATTCAAGACCAACAGACAAAAAGAAGGAAAAAAAATAAAGAGACTCAGATTCAAAACCAGACCTCAAAACCTCCAGCACTCAACCTATTTTACTAACCCATGCTGATTCTCAGTGTCTGTCTCTACTGGAACCCAGCCTGCAAGTTGTCTCTTGTTCATTGAGATTTTAATGCCATTGGGTAAGAGGGGCTGAGGAAGAGTTGAGCTTTTATCTGAGACTCAAGGCCTGACTTCTTTCCTGGTCTCTTAGAAAGAGGTAATAATAGCCAGTTGCCAGTGGCTCATGCCTCTAATCCTAGCTACTCAGGAGCCTGGGATCTGAAGATTGTGGTTCGAAACTAGCATGAACAGGAAAGTATGTGAAATTCTTATCTCCAGCTGACCACCAAAAAGTTAAAGTGAAGGTGTGCCTCAAGTGGTAGAGCACCAGCCTTGATCAAAAAAGCTTGATGAACAGCACTAGATCCTGAGTTCAAGCCACAATAATAACACACACACACACACAGTAATGGTGGCAAAACTAGATTGAGCCACACAATGTCCCTACTTCTGTCCTGCTGTCCCTCTATCCTTCTATTGCCTCTCTTTCCTCTACTGGCTCACTGCACATCCTGTCTCAAGTTGAGTCCACTTGGCAAGTGAATGAGGTTTCCTTTGAAACTCCCAGCTCCTCTTCAGGATTTATATATGGGTTTTTCTAGAAAGTTCCAGGACAATCAGGGCTGCTTTAAACTGAGTCTAGTTTCAGCACCTTCCTGCTCCTCTCCAGAAAAAAAAAAACTTCTTTGAACTAATGCTGCCTTTTAATTTACAGGAGTGATATATAGATATCCAATTGATCAACTGAACTGTGTCAATTGAAAATGAGTCCATTTGTACACAAATACAAATTAAACACTCCTACTCTGAAAATCTGAACTTCAAAATGCTCCAAATCAAAGGGGAAAGTCCCACACCTGACTTCACATGCTGGGTCAAAGTCACACACACTACACTAAAAACATATTGCACAAAATTTTCCTTCAGGCTATGTGGAAAAAGGATGTGAGAAACATTAATGAGGGGCTGGGAAGGTGGCTCAGTGGTAGAGCGCTTGCCTTGCATGCCTGAGGCCCTGGGTTCAATTCCTCAGCACCACATAAGCAAAAAGAAAAAAAAAGCCAGAAGTGCCGCTGTGGCTCAAGTGGTAGAGCGCTAGCCTTGAGCTGAAGAGCTGAGGGACAGCGCCCAGGCCCAGAGTTCAGGCCCCACGACCGGACCCAAAATAAATAAATAAATAAATAAAACATTAATAAGACTAGTGTCCACCTGCAATCCCAGCTTACAGATTCAGAGGTAGAAGAATCATTAGTTCAAGACAAGCTTCACCTATACAACAAGATTGAGACCATGTCTCAAAAAAAAAAAAAAGAAGCACTTAAGGGATCTCAAGATTAGACTCGATTCTCATTTTTGCCAAGATCTCTCTTTATGGATACAATTATCCCAAACTTTGAAACAAATCCAAACTCTCCTGGTCCCAAGCATTTTGGGAAAGTGGCACTCTGTCATAAAGGAATAATGGCTGAGCTCTGGTGACTTTACTTTTGCTAGAGGCCCAAAGGTATTGATAGCCAGCCAACCTACTGGAAACTTCCAAGATCTGTGTTTCTAGAAGTTGAACCTTGGACCTCTAGTATCAGAATCACTTAGTGAAGATGGAGATTTCCCTGGAGGCTCAGAATCTCTCCCAGGAGAACAAAGGGTCTGAACTTTCCCATTAGATGTATTTTACTATCAGGGAAGTTTCAAAACCTCTCTGATCGGAAAAGAGCGGTTGCAGGGTGCCAGTGGTTTATGCCTGTAACCCTAGCTACTCAGGAGGCTATGTGATCTGAGGATCACAGTTCAAAGCCAGCTCAGGCTGACAAATCTGAGAGATATTTTAGTTCCAATTAACCAGTGAAAAACCAGCAGTAGCTCAAGTAGTAAAATGCCAGTCTTGTGTGAGAAAAAGATTAAACAAGAGCTTGAGCCCTGAGTTCAAGCCCCAGCACACACACACACACACACACACACACACACACAGAGTGACCAGCTATAAAGAAACACTTACTCTGGCTCTATCTTTCCCACTTCTCACTTCCTTCCTTCTCCACACTTCATCCCTACAATTTTCCTCTCACAATACCCGTTCTCCACCCTCTATTTTTAAGTGGAGTCAAAGACTAAATAAACAAATCTCCCTCAAGTAGAAAGTACTTGATGATGTGGGTGTCCTTGAACGAAATCATAAAATACTAAGTAATCAGATATCCCCTTTGTCACCTTCCCAACAGACTCATCTGTCACACTGATATATTGGTATAAAGCTAGAAATCAGCTGGGCACCAGTGGCTATCCCTGGAATCCTAGCTACTCAGGAGGCAGCGATCTGAAGGTCATGGTGCAAAGCCAACAAAATCCATGAGACTTTTACGTCCAATTAACTACCAGAAAAATCAGAAGGGACGCTGTAGCTCAAAGTGGTAGAGCACTAGCCTTGAGCAAAAGAACTCAGAGACCGTGCTTAGGCCCTGAATTCCAAGCTAAAGACAATTCCCACCCCAGACAATTCCCAGATCCTGGATCCCAAAGGTGCACAGTCTTTATGTGACCTCAAGCTCCCTCCAATCAGAAAATGACAAAGCAGTGGATCTTCGAATAGGTTCTTCCTCATGTACCCTGCCACCACACAGAGCCAGGCCTTCATGCTCTGGATGTTTTAGGTTGAGATAAGAATTTGAAAGCTGGGCACTGAGGGGGACCAGTGGCTCACGCTTGTCATCCTAGCTACTCAGGAAGCTGAGATCTGGGGATCACAGTTCAAAGCCAGCCCGGGCAGGAGAGACCGTGAGACTCCTATCTCCAAACCACCAGAAAAAAAAAAAAACCGGAAGTGGCGCTGTAGCTCAAGTGGTAGAACGCTCGCCTTGAGCTGAAGAGCTGAGGGACAGCGCCCAGGCCCAGAGTTCAAGCCCCACGACCGACAAAAAAAAAAAAAAGATGACCAGAGAGCTGGGCTCCAAACATAGGATCCACCAGGCTTCTCCACAAAATGTGCACTCTGCTGAATGATGTTTAAACCTCTTAACTGTGAACACAGCAGGATTACTTTCCAGGACTTTGAATACACTCAGGACAACCTGCATTGTTTATTGTTTTTATATCATCTCCTCTCTGACCACCAACCTCCACTACAGAAACCCATTTAAAAGGACAGGTTTTAGTGGTCCTTCCATTTGATCAGCTGAGCAGTAATTTTCATGCTTTGCCAGAGCAAAGAAACACACACACACACACACACAGAGTCTTCCCCCCTGATAACAGTATTTAATTTCCTTTCAAACCACCCCAGGACCCCATCCTGAGTCCTCAGACCAGACTTCCTAGGTCTGGGAATTAGTGCAGGACATAAGCCTGGTGGATGAGACTGCTCCATTGGCCTGGAGATAGGAAGAAGATTCCCAGAGGGGCCGAGCAGGGGGGGAAGCAGACAAACAATGATGTTCTTTGTTTGAAATCCTTGGAATAAGGAAGCCTTTCCCATTGAGTGAAGGCATGGAGGATGCGAGCCTCAAGCTACAATGGTCATTTGCTGTCCTCAGGGAAGAAGCTTCAAGAAATAAGGCCAAAAGCAAAGAGAGCTGGAGCTGAGACAGAGCAGAGCAAATTCAGACCAATAACATCATTCGGTGCCCTGGATCTGGCTGTTCCTGAAGATACATACTTCCACACTTCTTCATTATGGGAGCCCATAAGGTCCCTCTTCATACTTCAGTCCCTTTGAGCTACATTTCCAGTCACTTGCCAACCAGAAGATGATGTGGGCAGATTGACAGATCTGAGATCAAGTGAGCTCCCCGTGAGCCCCCAAGAGTTAAGTTCTGCAGTCAGAGAGTATTTTGAGGGGATCTGGCCACCATGGGGCTGAGGATGGACCCCAAGCAGATTCTGGTCGGCACGCAGGACAACGCTCATGGGTCACTTCAGGATCCGGATGCTCATTTTTTGTTCAATGTTCATTTTCTCCAAGGACTGGGGAGAGATAGATGTGGTTGACACAGGAGGCTCAGATCTCAATCCTCTAATCTTCCGGCCTCTTTCCCAGGGCCCTGCCTACTCCCTAGGACTCCAAGAGGCCCTGGTGACAACTATTTTTCTGCCCTCTTCCTCCCTCCCTCCCTCCCTCCTTTCCTTCCTTCTTTCCTTCTTTCCTTCCTTCCTTCCTCCCTTCCTTCTTTCCTTCTTTCTTTCCCCAAGGGCCTGAGCATTGTCCCTGAGCTCCTGTTTGCTCAAGGCTAGTACTCTACTACTTGGTCCACAGCTCTACTTCTGGCTTGTTGGTGGTTAATTGAAGACCGGAGCTCATGAAGTTTCCTTCCTGGGCTGGCTTCAAACTATGATCCTCAGATCTCAGCCTCCTGAGTAGCTAGGATTACAGGTGCACCTGCAATCACAGGCCCCAGCTGCCCTTTTTCTTTGAACCTTACTTCCCTGTCCATCAGTCCCAAAGACAGCTGATGTGAATTTGCCATTCCCCAGGGACATTTCAACCTTAGTGAATTCCAGGAAGGACACAGCCCCATCCCCGTCTTCATCGGCCTCCTGTACTGTGCGGTCTGTGATGCTCTCCAATTGTTCCTCTGTCACCTGGACTCCAACCATCAGCCGAAGAACCTGGGAGGTGAAAGAAGAGACCGCGGTAAGCCAAGCAGGATCATGAGTTCGAAACCTGCCTGGTGTGAGACCCTTTCTCAAAAACAAACTAGAGGGTGGGAGCCATGGCTCAAGTAATTGAGCAGCACTAGGTTCACTCCCCAGCACCATAAAAGGGAGTGAAGAAGAAACCACAATGAATAAGTGAAAAAGCTACTCTCTCAAGACAGGGTACCAGTGGCTCACACCTGTCATCCTAGCTACTCAGGAGACTGAGATCCAAGGATCCTGGTTTGAAGCCAGCCTCGGCAAGAACATCCAGGAAACTTTGATCTCTAATTAACCAGCAAAAAGCTGAAAGTAGAGCTGTGGCTCAAGTAGTAAAGTGCCAACCTTGAGCAAGCAAAAATGCAAACTGAGTTCAAAACCCAGTAGAGGTACACATATACACATACACACACACACACACACACACACACACACACACACACACACACAAGCAAACAAGCTGCTCTCCCATCCTTCAAGCCTTTCCTATGGCTATTAGCAATTTTATGGCATTCTATAGCAGGTTTGCACCCGGTCTCATTCACCTCCTATCTAATCCCCTGCTTCTGCACCCTCCAACTTCCCTTGAACCCCTCTCTTCAACAATAAATCTGCCCCAGCTCACAACAGCAACCTTACAACCTGCCCTCCATACATCCTCCACCTCTCAGACCAGATCCAAGGAGCCATCTCCACCTTCTCACCCATGCACCCCATTTCTCAGCTGACACCACCGGCCCCTGGGAGCTGGCATGGCCCTCATGTGGTCAGATCACACCTCATCCTAGGCAAAATCCCTGACCTCTTCCCCCATCCCTGCCAAGACTATGCTGTTCCCAAAGATGTCCTCCTGAAGCATGGATACTGGTCTAAGTGGCGCCATCTTGGCATCTTGGTGGATGATGGGGACTATACCCAAACTCCAGAGGCCAAATCCACTTCCCCACCCCACCCCCAGGTGAGAGGCACCTGAACTCCTAGAAGCAGATGGACAGTAGGTTCCAAGACCTGGCAGACTTGTGCCACGAAGTAGGGAGTTTGAATTCTCCAGCTCCCTGTGAACCTGCCCCCTAACCATGACTCTCCTTAGACCTCTTGACCTCTGCTGTGATTTCGCCATGCCTCCTGTCTCCTGCCTCTCCTCAGGTCACTCCATTAGAGTTGATCTGGTTTGTTGAGATGGAATGTCTGCTCTTTCTTCACTCTCCTACCCTCCTGGCTCAGTTTCCTAACACTATTAAGTGCAAGACCTTGGGACATGAGTCAGCTACTAGTAGGGAGCGTACTAATAAACACTCCTGACGGGACCTCTCAAAAGGTGGGTTCTCCCTATCTCCCAATCTAAGTCCCCCACATCTCATTTCCACTGACACAACCTCCCCACCCCCACCCCCAATCTCCCAGGAAACCCACACTGGGCCACACCCATCGCCCCCCCCTGGTTCCTTCTGCCTCCCTCCTCCCTCCACCCACCCCTACCCCCCCCCCTCCCAAGCACTTCTTCAAAGCCCACTCCCAAGCCGCCCCCTCCCCCCACACGAACCTGTAACATCTCTTGTCTGGAGATCTTCCCATCTCCATCCAAGTCATAGAGCTGGAAGGCAACTGGGAAGAGAATGGAGGGGGGGAAGGTGAGTCTCCTTGGCCCCTCCCAGCGCTGGCAGGGTCGCCAGGGGAGGTTGGAGGCCCCCACCTGGGAGCGTCTCTTCTGAGTGGAGAGGGGGCAGGTGTGCCCACCCCCCCACACACACACCCCACACACACACTACCCCAACTCACACCGTAGTTTGTTCATCCTGCTGTTGAGAGGCTCGGGTTGCTTGGGATCTCGGGTTCCTGGGTCCTCGTTCTCTATCGGGCGAAAATGAGCGAGGACCCTGACAAAGCCCGGGAAATCCACGCACTGGCTCCTGCGGGCAGGGGGCGGAGACACTGGTCCCTTGCCTCGTCCCTCCCTCTCTCTCTCTCACCCCCTACTCCTGACTCCCCACTCCCGGGGAGGGGGGGGGAGGCCTCACCCGTGGGGGAAGAAGCTGTCGATGATGCGATCCCCGAGGGGGTTCACCGCCAGCGCCCCGATCTGCTGGAGATCCATGCGGCTGTAAAGACCAAGTTGGAAAGGGGTCTGGCAAAGGCAGGAACGGAGTTGGGGAGACGGGTGGGAGGACCAGCGGCTCCCCCTCACCTCAGGTAGCCTTTCTTGTTCCTGTCCAGGGCTCGAAATCGGTGGTAGAGACGGAGCAGGCTGGCCTGAGAGACTATGGGAGGGAATGAGGGACGCGCCCCCCCCCTCCGTGGAAGACGCGCGCACCACCCCACCCCCAGATTATGGGGGTCCCCCATGCCTCCCCCTGCACGGACGCAGCTAATGGGGCTGGGATCGGCATGGGGAAGATCTAAATTTGAGACCAGGGTGGTTCCCAGAGAGCCCCCCCCAGAAAGCCAGCGAGCCAAAGTGCAGCACCCCATCGCCAAACATCCCCCCCAAAAATAAACCCAGATCCTCCCTGAACTAGGACTCTCATGACCTGTGAAGTCACCCCACCCCAGCCCGTCCCACGCGGGCCCCGGCGATCCATCGCAGACACCCAGGAGGGGGGGTCCAGCCCCGGTGGGGGGGGCGCGGCGCAGATCGGGATGTGCGGACCCATCCACCCGACCAGCGCCCCGCCGCCTCCCGTTCCCGGCCCCGAGGACTCACAGCCAGTGTCCCGCCGGATGTCATCCACGTCGGGGATGATGGCGACGTGGGAGCTGCGCGTCCCCATGTCGGAACCGGAGTCCGGTGCCCCGCGCCCCTCTGCGCCCCGCTGCGCCCCGCGCGCCCTGCGCCCTGCGCCCGGCCAGGGAACCCAGGCGCGGCCACCCCGTGACCCCGGGGCCGAAGGACGCCGGCCGGCCTGGAGAGCAGCCAGGCTGCAGAACCCCGGCGTTCCGCGCCTCCCACCTGCGACCCGGCGGGATAGAACAATGCCCCGAGGCCGCAGGCCACCGCGGGGCGGGCGCGAACAACGGGCTGTTTGAGCCTTGAGACTGGAGACTGGCTGGGGAGGAGCTGGGCGAAGCCGGGCACCGCCCCTCTCTCCTCCTCCCCCCCCCCAACTCCTCCTCCTGGGCCCCAGATCTCCAAGTCCTGCTGGGAAGCGAAGAGGGACGTTTGTCCCGTCTGCTGTGCTCTCCTCTGGGCAGGCCCGGGACTGGGTTGGGGCTGAGGGCCACCCGGAGAGGGGCCTTCTGGATTTGGAGGACTTACCCTGGAATCCAGGTACATCGAGTCAGTCTAGCTTCGTTTCTCTACCTGTTGGTGGATCTGTCTATATAGTTCTGTTGTATAACTGAGCCAAGGCTTACAATCCAGACTGATCAAAAAAATCCAGATTCCTAGTTTTCCCAGGGACCAGGGATGTGGCTCCGTGGTAGAGTACTTGTCTACCGTAGAAAAGTGTGTAGCCACGCACCTGTGACTCACACCTGTTACCATAGCTACTAAGGAAGCCGAGATCTAAGGATCATGGTTTGAAGTCGGCAGGAAAGTCCGTGAGACTCTTATCTCCAATTAATCACGGAAAAAGCCCAAAGTGGAGCTGTGGCTCAAGTGGTAGAGCACTAGCCTTGAGCAAAAAGAAGCTCAGGGACAGCGCCCAAACCCAGAGTTTAAGCCCAGCAAAACAAAAAACAAAACAAAAAACTCCAGAACGCACACCCCCACACACACACATACACACACACACAAAGCACGTATATCTATGGAGAAGTAAGGGGAGGGTGGAACAGCTCATTACAAGGGTTCACATTTGCCCTAGAGAGGAGGGGGCTAGAGACACGGTCTATTCACCAACCCAAGGCAGTGGTTTCCTTCAGATGGGTCTTGAAAATACTGATTTACAAAGTGCTTGCTTCTCTTTCAGATACCCCAAAGATTAAGCAACAGGCATACTCAGTTTGATTCCTGTCAGGCACCCATGAGGAATCAGACCATGTGGGAAATCCATCCTCCTTGCTGACACCCAGCCATGACTCCTGTGCATGATAAAAACTGTACCCTTACCCCTTACTGTGTGTGTGTGTGTGCCACTACTGGGTTTGAACTCAGCATCTCACATTCTCACTACTCTTGTCTACTCACGGCTGTTGCTCTACCACTTGAGCCACAGCTCCACTTTGGCTTCTTGGTGGCTAACTGGAGATGAGTCTTGGCTTCTTGGTGGCTAGCTGGAGATGAGTCTCATACACTTTCCTACCTAGGCTGGCTTCAAACTGGGAGCCTCAGATCTCAGCCTCTTGAGTAGCTAGGATTACAGGCTTGGGCCACTGGTGGTGTCCCTCTACCTTCTTAAACCAAAATAATTTACAGATGAAATAGATGTAAAGACAAGATAAGCCCATTCAAGCATGAAGCAAAATGTAGAAATCACAGAGAAAACACCGACCAATTTAACCATATGAAAATTAAAACCTCAATGTGTGCGTGTCTATATATATATATATATATATATACATACTTACATATATAATCCATAGTCTCTATAAAAGGTAAAAGATTACCTGATAGAAAAAATCTGGGCTGGAGCTGGGAAGGTGGCTCAGTGGTAGAGCACTTGTCTTGTATGCCTGAGGCCCTGGGTTCGATTCCTCAGCACCACATAAGCAAAAAGAAAAAAGCCAGAAGTGGTGCTATGGCTCAAGTGGTAGAGCGCTAGCCTTGAGCTGAAGAGCTGAGGGACAGTGCTCAGGCCCAGAGTTCAGGCCCCACGACTGGACCCAAAATAAAATAAAATAAAAAAGAATTTCCTTAAAAAAAAAAGAAAGAAAAAATCTGGGCTAAGCCTAGCACCAATCATATTTAGGAGGCTGAGACCCAGATAATTAAAGTTCAAGACCAACCTGAACAGAAAAGTAAAAAAAAAAAACAAAAAAACACCTCCATATCAAAAATATCCAGAAGTCAGGTGCTCCTAGCTACTCAGGAAGCTGAGATTTGAGGTTCAAAGCCAGTCTAGTCAGGAAAGTCCAAGAGACTCTTACCTCCAGGAAACAAGAAGTTGAGCTGTGGCTCAAAGTGCTAGAGTGCTAGCTAGCCTTGAGGGAAATTGCACAGGGATAGCGCCCAAGCAGTGAGTTCAAGTCTCACAACCAACCATTAACTAATCTACTCCAGCAACAATAAAGCTCAGAGAATGCATTCCTGAGTATAGAAATCTCGAGACCTACTAGCCTCTCTTTAGGTCCCACCTCCCAACACAAGACAATTGCTTTGGAGATTAAACTTCCAACACACAAACTTTGGATTACATTTCCAACACACCTTCAAAACATAACTGTAGACATCCAATCATCACTGAAAAGACCCCCTACCCACCCACCTGTGTGGCCAAATGGGGGGTCTTTCCACTCACCCTTAGACTAGGGAGGGCAGGACTATCTGTGATTGACAAGCCTTTGCACAGGGAGGGGCAATTCCTGAAAGTGACTCCTTTTTTTTTTTTTAACCAAAGGGAAAAGTACTCTCCTGGGCAGATTAAACAACAGATGTCTGCCAGAGAGACAGCCAGTAATAAAATAATAGAGTGGCACTTCCAAGCAGGGGGCATGTGACAGGAAGCAGAAGGCATGTAAGGAACAGCACTTAGGCAGGCCACTACGGAAGAAGCCAGTAGTCTTCAAGAATGCCTTTCCCTGGGGCCTCAACCTCTAAAAGCCGCTGTTTCCAGCTTCTGTAAACTGCACCCAGTAGGGAGGGGTTAGAGGAGCTTTGCTGCTTGATTAGAAATATATAACATAGCCAGGCACTGGAAGCTCACACCTGTAATCCTAGCTACTCAAGAGACTGAGATGTGAGGCTCCTGCAGCAAAATCAGCCAGGACAAAAAAGTCTCTGAGACTCTTAACTCCAGCAAAAAGCCAGAAGTGGAAGTGTGGTTCAAGTGGTAGAGCACCAGTCTTGATTTAAAAAAAAACTAGGGTCTTGAGTTCAAGCTCCATTACTGGTCCCGCAAAACAGCAACAACAGAAAAAAGAGGGAATCGATAACACAACACTTACAATAACACAAAGGGTAAAAGGACACACAGAAGTAGAAGAACTCTTCACATCCTAATTCCCTTGTTCCTTCCACGAATCCTGGGCTGATGTAGCCTGAGTGGCAGAGGACCTGCCTAGCAAGTAGGTGGCCCTTAGTCCCCACCCCACAGCTGCCCAAAACAACTTCAAAATCCCAACCCATTTCCCCTTCTGTCTCATTTCCAGGGCCTTATGAGACACTCGAGCAAGAAGAGCCACAGGCAAGAGAAGCATCACAAGAGAATCACCTGCACTGGGGTCAATCTCCAACAGAAAAAGAAGAAAACACAGGAAGGAAATGGAACAGAAGAGAAGAATGGATGGGCAGATGGATGGAGATGGATGGATGGATGGGTGGATGGATGGATGGATGGGTGGATGGATGGATGGATGGATGGACAGGAGGAGTGAAGGAGGTCAGGGAAGAGAAGAGAAGGAGCAGAATGGTCTCCCTCCACTGGTGGGCTGAGGTGGCAGTCCCCAACTCTGTTCCTCCCATTTCTTGCTGTCCTGTGAGATTGTATATTCAGCAGGCGTGAATGAGGAAGGGGACTAGAATGAGAGTAAGACAGACCCAGCTCCTGGAGCCCAGAGGCAGGAGAAGACCCCAAAGATGAAAGATGCACATTCATTCATGTATTCGACCATGAAGGTGGCATTCTGGAAGGTCAACCCCCAAAACAGAAAGCCTACCATTTATAAGATGGTGATAAGAGGGAGGGACAAGACAAAGCAGAGAAAAGGGAGGGCTGGGGAGGCTTGAGATTTTAACAGAGGGATTTGTGATGAGATGACATTGAGTAAAGACTCAGAGAAGAGGAAGTAAGACAAGCAATTATCTAAGAGCATTTGAGGCAGAAAAAAAATGTGCGTATACTACATGTGCAAAGACCCTGATGTATAAATGCAAAGGTGGGTCTGGAGTGTATAAAGAATAGTAAGAACACATAGAAAAGAAGAATGAAGGGGTCTGTGCCAAAAAATAAAGATAGGCTCAGGCAGCCCCTAGTTACGAGATTTGTGGGTCCCTGTGAGGATTTTCATCTTTATTCACAATAAAACAGGAAGTGAGGATTTGAGGCAAAAAAAAGGAAGGAAGGAAGGAAAGAAAGAGAAACATACAAGTAATCATTTTTAGAGTGTATTGGTTTCCTGTAGCTTCTGTACTAAATCACCACAATCTTAGTGGCTGAAAGCAAAGCCAATGCATCACCTTGCATGGTCTCAGTGAGCAAAGCAGACAATGTGGCCAGGAAGCTAGAGAAGAGTCTGCTTCTGGGTCTTACCGGGCTTATAGGTGATCTGAATTCCTTGGCTTTCCTGCCTTCTGTCTTTACATCCAACATTCACACCATCCATCCTCCACCATGCATCCATCCTCCATTTCTTTGTGTGACTCTGAACACGTGATCACAGTGTGCCACACAGAAATGCTCAACACCATCTGCAGAGTCCTTTGGGCCAATGAGAAGCTATCATCTCAGATTCCTGGGACTAGGAGATCTTTGGGCAGCCCTTTCCTGAAATAGTGTCAGCTAGTTTATAAGTTCTGTTAATGGAGACAGACTGCTGGGAGAATGTATGAGTGGGAAATCTGACCAGCCCCGTGGCGGGGGGGGGGGGGGGGAGAGAGACGGGTCATCCTCACCATGTCAGAAGTGTCCACCTCCAAGGAAAGCTGTCCATCCCCGAGCCAAGTCTTACCATCAATCATCTCAGC